GCAAAACACTGACACAGAAAAAGCCATCTCGTAAAGAAAGGTTTTGCTTATAATATTATGGCCAGTGTCAGACACACCAGCCAATAACAGTGTTGACCCTTTGCTAAAGTATGAGTAGGTTTGGAGGGCCCAGCAGCTTAATTTCCCACTTTGGAAGTGAAATTAGTGATGCAGAGTAATTTCTTAAACCAAGTATACAAAAATGGCCAATACATTGCAGGTAAGACAGCAAATCCTCCTAATATAGACACACTTTAGACTGGCAAACAAGTGCTTGCCCAATTTAGCTTATATCAGGTAATATAGGTGATATAATCTACTACCAGGCAAAGGGATTTCATACTGATAATTGAATTTCAGTTCAGAAATGTTAAGAAAAATTAGCGTCCCCAAGAAGGGCAAATTTTTAGCCTAGACCTGATCATAGTACTTTACAAATATGTACAAGCCCAGTGCCCTTGCACAGAAGTGAAAAACATGGTAGATAATTCTGCAAAAAGCTGATCAGGCAGGACTGCCCTATCCCAAGAAGCAGTTGCATTGGACTTCCTCGTCTTTTCAGAACATGCACATTTCAAAGACCCCACTGTTTAACCAGGCTAAGTCTCCCTTTTCCTCCCTCAGTGCCTACACTTTTAATAGGAAGAACCCTTAGTCCAGGACCACTCTTGGCTGCACTACCTGGAAAGGGTAAGAGGTGGCTATTAAACTCCTTGCTCTGCCATGCACAAGCAGCTGCCAAAGGTGTAAAAGTCCAGACAAACAAGCAGGCTTTAACCCAAGCAATACCCCTTTAACAACTATCTAGGTGAGTGACTGTTCAGGGTCTTTCTCTGGCCACTTGACCCTGGATGCTTATACAGCCTCATGACCCCAACTATGCACTTTTTGCCATAATTATATTTTTAAAGAATTCTTTATATACTCCTTTGTTTTGGAGTGTTGCAGAAGAGACTGAGCCAGGTGTCATGTTCATAGTTCCAAGCATCACACTGTCTTTGTACCTTAAATCTGAATAGGCTTGTATCTTCTGAACTTTGATGTCCGAATCCAAGACATTCAGTAGCACCGCTAGCTGTCTCACAAGAGTGTCCTTTTGTTGTTCAGTCAGCTGGCCAACTCCAACTTGCAATATAAGCTCCACCAGACCATTTTTTTTAGGGTCTGAAAAACCAAAATACATGCTGTCTGTTTGAAGACCTGCAGGTATTTCAGTATTGATCCAAAGGACTACTTAGTTATCTAGTAAATTTGCCTCAAAAATGTAGATTTGGTTAAATCTGACAATACCTTGTAAAGCACTATAGAAGGGCAAACACTATAGGCCTCGCAGCAACCTAGTGAGATTATTCTGATTCTTCAAAGAAGAAAACAAGTCACAGAAACTAAAATTGCCCACAGAAAACAAAGAAAATTGGTGACAAAGACAAAAATAGAATATTAAGATCTATCAAATTCCCACTTCACGCCTTCCCCACAACACCACCCGTCCCCAAAGAGGATTCTATAAAAAACACAAGACTAACAGAAGAATGTTTCCAGGCTTTAAATAATGAAATAAAAAAAGAAATGAAGACTTGTTTAAACAAATATATAATCCATTTCAGTTTTAAGCACTCAAACAGTAAAATGTGGAGTTTAGACATAAGAATCAGTACGTGTGACTAAAAGGAAAATGACTAATAAAGGTCATCATTTGTCTATTTTCATTATCACAATGGATTAAAATGCAAAAAAAAACAAAAAACCCCACAAGCAAGCAGTATAAATAGTGAAAAAAAATCAATTAGACTTCTAGAAATCTTTCAGGTTAAACAAAGCTGACATTTGTAATACAGGCAAGGAAACAATTAAAAAAACCCTAGGGGCATGATTCTCCACTGCTATGCAGGGGCATGATTCTCCACTGCTATGCAACGGGTGCAGCCATTAATACCTGGGTAAAGTGGCTCAATACTGGTATCACCGGTGTAAGGGCAGGAATATGATAGTGTTTTATATCCAATTTGAGCATCACCCCCACAAGGCTGTGGAGAATCAGACCAACAAGTTTTAACTTGACAGGATCTTGCCCACCCAACCATCAAAAGAACATGGAGTTTCACACTACTTATAGATGACCTTTTAATTATCATACCAGGCCGCACTTCAATAGTAGCGGTGTCAATATCTGAATCTCCTTTAGCATCAGTCACTTTCAAGTGGAAGATATATGTTCCCTCCACAAGATTGGTTAGTTGCAGTACTGGCTTGTGGTCTGAGCCATGAATTACATCCTGCAAAACATGGGAGAAGATGATTATACTCCTGGGACTAATTTTGCCTTAGGCTATGTCAACCTAGGTGGATACTTGCCTTAGACTTTAGAATAAAATAAGAAAGAGGCCACCTTGAGTAAATCCTTCCCAAAGTTTATAATGGGTTAGTGTGACTGTAGAGGCATTAGTTAGGCATATCTGCACATGCAGTTTGTATACTTTCCGTAAAGTTTGATAAAAGAGGATTTTGTGTTCAAGGTGGACATGCTCACTTGGCTACATTTTTGTTTCTCAGTTTTTCCTTATTGTTGTTAGCTCCAGTTCTTTGGTTCCTAAATAATTCTCCTCCTCTATTAATGTTTATACCCTTCAAGTACCTGCAGACTATTTCCATCGACACCTATTATAAATAAGCTAAAATTATTTAGGGTTTTTTTGTGTGTACCCACATAAATTATTTTCTTCTGCTCCACACTTGTTTTTGCTTTCCCTCCCCTCCTCCCACCTCAGTTTTTGCAAGCACGTTACCATCTTTCTGATACTGATGAGCTCAGATCCATACATGCATTCTGGTGCCAATGTTGTCATTGTCCATTTGAAGCAGATTATCACTGTGGTCTATGATGCAATGCGTGTATATCACATTGCAAGTTCGTGTCAGATTTGTCTGCCATCCTTCCACAGTATTCATCAGCATCTTTGGATTTCAAGAAACTTCTTCTCTGTGCCATCTGGGTTTCAGATTATTTTTCCCTAGATGTATAAGCTTGTATTTATCCCAGATGAACTACATTTTTAGTTTCATGACCATATCTCCAGCCTTTCTATATAGGTTCCTTTGCATCTCAGTCCTCACTGCTGTGGTCCTCCTAACTAAATATACTCAGCAAACATGATTAAAGGGCCAGGGTAAAAAAGACATTTCTGGTATTGATAGAGTTAAGTAAAAGCCAATGCAACACCTATAACTAAGTTAACTCACTGAACACATGCCAGCATGGAACATTGAAGTCACCAGGGTTACATAATAGGTAAGTGAGAGCAAAATTTGACTTCAGTTAAAAAAAACACTTCTACAATACTTACCCCAGCTGCTGGACTCTGGCCATCACGAATCCACACATATGACATAATCCCTTGGTCATCTGTAGACTTTGAGCCATCCAAAGTAATAGAGTTATTGGGAAGCACCAGGATTTGTTTGCCTCCAGCATGTGCATGAGGAGGAGTATTGTTTTCTTTAAAAAAAATCACAAAAAAGAGTAACTAGGAGGATATTATATTATAGATTTGTAGATTGTAGAGTTGGAAGGGACCACAATGGATCATCATGTCCGACTCCCTGCTCCTAGCAGGAAAGAGGACCAAGGTCAGATGACCCCAGCCAGGTGACTATCTAGCCTCCTCTTGAAGACCTCCAAGCTAGGTGATAGCACCACCTCTCTTGGAAGCCCATAATCTTTCAAAGCGCATCAAATACAAATGACACTAGTGCAGATAAGCTCACGGGAGTGTAGCCATATTTTGACCAAACAGCTAAAGCTGATTTACCAACAGTAAAACTGATTACTACCACCCTCATCTTTACAGAGGGGTGTAGGATAACTGCTCCCAGCCTACTCAGACCAAAATACAGCAATCAGTGCTGCAGTTGGTCATCTGCAAACTAGGATGCGATGCACACTGAATTCCGACCCTCCCCCCCATTCTGGTTCTACAGAATATCAGGAAAATGGCATTGTAATTCCCCAAGACTCTCTGAGATTGTGGAGAAGGAGGGACACAAAAACATTGTTTCTTTATTTCAATACTGCACAAAAATAAGTAAATCTGTTTACTGTGAGGTTTCAGTTTGAATATGGTACACTGAGAGTCTAAATTTCCTCAGCATCCCTTTCATTCACAGCAGGGTACCACTAACATCCTGAGAGTAGAATAATATCAAAAACAATCCATGCCAAAGTTAACATAATCTTTTTCAGCACACACACACACACACACACACACACACACACACACACACACACACTTAATTTAAAAGAAACACCACAGTAAGTAAATAAACATAGTGCTGTAACACAAGGAAGAATACATCTTTATGAAATAGTAGTCTTAGTCCAGTAGGTTTTCTTGAGTTTACTTTTGGAATGTAAACAATCAAATTAAGTAGCAAGTCACATTATACCTCAGATGTGCCTCAATTTACCTTCCTTAACAGTAACAGAGAGTGTAGCTGTGCTGCTTAATCCCTGATGGTCTTTCACTGTCAGCCGGAAGTGATAGGTACCAATCTGTAGTCCAGTCACTGTTGCCACTGCTTTGTCAACGTCTTCCATTTGCAGAGTACTTGGCCCACTGAAACACCATAGCCAGAAAAAATCTTGACTATAGGCCATATTTTATCCTCAGTGTTACTCAGTTATCCTTTCTATTTGCTTGCATAAGGTAGTTATAAAACATAGGATCTAAGCACTGCCTGTACAGGTATTGCACCAAGCATGAATCTGATCCACAGAATTAGTGGTTTTACAGGGAGTTAAACCAAGGAATGTGGAAGAATCCAAGGTCATACATCAAAGTCGGTAAGACAGCAGAAAGTACTATCCACTTCTCTCCTCTAACATTTCAACAGCACTTATGAACATCTATGCTATAGTCAGAAAAATGTTGTGCAATAACCTAATATGCTGAGAACCAGCAACAAAGTGCCCACTGGGCACATCTACATGTGCAAATAAGCACAACTAAATATAATTCACATTAAGCTAATGTGCATTAAGTGATTTTTGGCAGGCATCTACACATGCAGGGACTTGGGACCAAAGTTAGTGTACTTGGCGCTGAAGTAAGTCCCAAGTCCCTTCAGCCCTGCCATGTGCCCCTGCGGCCACCGGCAGGAGCTCCAGCCACATGGCTGCCAGTACTTGGGAGCCATGTTGAAACCAGACCCAGCTGCCAGCATTTGGCAGCCATCTTGGAAGCTCTGATCCCTAGCCAGCCCCTTCCTTACCTAGAAGCCATGAGCCAGTGCAGGGGCAGCATGCACCAGCTCCCTCCCTGCCTACCCTGCATCCCCATGCCAGAGCTGCTCCTGGCCCTGCTTACAGTACCAAGTGCCCTGCTGCTCCAACCTGGTCCCTGCCAGCAATGAACAGTGCCCTGTGCTGCTACTGGCCATGTTGCTGGCCCTGGGTCTTTGGCCACATGGTGCAGGGGAGAGCAGTGGGGCTGGGCCCAGGCAGATGGCAGCAGGTCTGGGCTGGGGAGTGGGCCAGGGGGTCTGGTGGGCAGGAGGTACCCTAGGACCTCCTCCCAGGGCCAGGCAGGGGCCTGCAGTGGGCTAGCAGGCAGAATCAAGGGGCCCTCTGAGGCCATGGGCAGGGGCTGGGCAGCAGGGGACATGTATATGGCTGTCAGGGTCAAGAGGGACTCCATGGCCTGGTGGTTGGCATCCCCCTGCTGATGGAGCTGCTCCAGGCAATCCTGCTCCAGGGCCCCCATGTGAGCTCAATGGTCCCACTGGGCCCAGTCCCACGCCTCCATCTGGGTGACATCCTCCATCCACCAGGCCTACTCCTGTGCCTCCACCACCACCAGCAGCCACTGGAGCAGCAGGATTCAGTCCTGGTGCACTGCTGGTGCATCCGAACTGCTCCAGCAGTGGGTGGTGGTGACCATAAAGCAACATCCCCACTGGGGCTGGTTAGCTCTCCCCTGCATCCAGATGTTGGCCTTGCAGAGGCAAGAGACAGAAGCCTTTTGTGAGAGTTTGCAACATTTCAGAGATAAGATGCTCTGCATCAGGGGCTGTGCATTGTCCAGTCTCAGATTGGGGGTCAGCTGTACACAAGTTTCCTGGAACCATGGTAAGTTGGCCAGGCAGGCCTGGGCCCTGGTAGCGGCCAGCTGAGCCCTGCATCCCAGCTGAGCCCACCCTCACAGCTGGCTTGCTGTGACCAGGGAGCCAGCAAACGGAGACTGAAAACAGGGGAAGCAGTTTGCAGGCAGTTCACAGGCCAGTTCCAAGGTAGTTGTATAGACTATTATCATACAATGGTGGGAGTGCATCGTACCTCACGGCTTCCCGCCTCAGCCCCAGCTGGTGTTCCCTTCCCTTGCATCACTGAGGCCGCCACCCAGATGGAACCCATGTTTCAGTCCTCCACCCAGATGGAGCCCCTGGCACTGGGCTGCAGGAGCTGCCTGGCGCTGCTACCAGCAACTGGGAATGGGAGCAAGGTCACCCCCACCTGTGGTATATGCTTCTTAATGAAGTGCCTGGAGTCCCAGGTGACTGAGCTCCAGGGCCAGGTAGGCAGACTTCATGCCATCAGGGCCCACAAGCAGGAGATTGATGACTACTACAGTCAGGCTCTTCTCCTGAAGAATGAAGGAGAAGATAGAGGAGAAGGTGGCCAACAAGAAGGCTAGCCAAAAAGACCCATCCAGAGCTACCTGGAAGATGGTTGTCTCAGGCTCCAGGACATGTAGAGCTAGGGCTGCCCCTCCCCTGGCACTGTGCAACAGGTATGCTCCCCTCATCATGCATGAGGAGGCACCGATGGAGGCACTGGAGGAGGTGGGTAGTTAGTGAACTGCCACCCTCAAGAGGAGACAGAGAGTGGTGGTGGTGGGTAACTCCCTCCTGCAGGGCACCAAGCGAACATCTACCATCTAGACCCCCTAGCCTGTGAGGTCTTCTGCCTCCATGGGGCCATTATGGAAAGGATCCCTGGGCTCATCGGGCCCTCCGACTACTACCCCATGCTCCTCATCCACGTGGGCACAAATGACACAGCCAGGAGTAATCCGGATCGGGTCATGAGTGACTATAGGGCTCTGGGGGCTGGGCTCAAAGGGTTGGAGGCACAGGTAGTCTTTTCTTCTGTGCTCCCAGTTTCAGGCCACAGACCTAGGAGGGAAGAATGCGTCAAAAAAGTGAACTGACAATTGGTGGTGGTGCTACCGAGAGGGCTTCAGTTTCTTTGATCACAGCGCACACTTCAGGGAGAGAGGACTCCTGGGAAGAGACAGCATCCACCTCACATGGAGGGATAAGTCCTTGTTCTCAGCCAGGATGGTCAATCTTCTAGGTAGGGCTTTAAACTAAGATCACCAAGGGACAGGGAAACACTGACTGCAGCATGCCCAGGGACCAGCACACAAGAAAGCTCCAAAGTTGAGGACACTAGGAGAGCCACACTTGCAAGAGCTTAGGGAATAGTTCTACCTCAGTGTGACAAGAAATCGAGGGTCTCAATTGGAGGATTTTGGTGCCTGTACACTAATGCCAGGAGCATGGGGAACAAGCAGGAGGAGCTAGCCCACCTACTCTTCAGTGGGCATTGTGATCTAGTAGGGATTACATGGTGGGACTCCTCACATGATCAGAATACAGCCATAAAGGACTACTCCCTGCATAGAAGGGACCGAGTAGGGAAGAAAGGTGGAGGTGTAGCTCTCTACGTGAAGGAGCAGTACACTTCGTTGGAGGCCAACATCACCTCCAAAGAAAAGTGGCTCAAAACCCTCTGGGTCAAACTACTGGGGGCTGCAGTGAGAGAGACTTAACTGTAGGTGTATATTACACACCACCAAACCAGGGGGAGAATCTTGATCTGGAGTTCTCTCAAGAACTGTCAAAGGCCATGTGCACACGGGACATGGTCGTCATGGGTAACTTCAGTTATCCATACATCTCTTGGAAGGAACACTTGGTTAAGTCAGATCGGTCGCATTGCTTCCTGTATCGAAGAGCTCTACCTGACTCAGGAAGTGCACAGGCCAACCAGAGGTAATGCTTTCCTAGACTTGGTCTTGACCACAAGAGACAAGTTGGTGAACAACTTCAATGTAGAGGGTAGCCTGTGTGACGGCAACCATGAAACTATCACATTCACTGTCCATCACAAGGCAGGCAAATCAGCTAGCAGGATTGAAGTTTTGGACTTCAAAAAAGCAAATTTCAACAGGCTCAGAGTAACAGTAGGGGAAGCACTGTTGGACCAGGGACTGAAGGCGAAAGGAGTGCATGAAGAGTGATCGTTCCTCAAGGACACAAGCCTCGAAGCACAAAAGAAGTACATTCCCATGAAGAGGAAAGGTAGGAGAAGGGCTGGTGAGCCCTCTTAGCTTACTAGGGAAATCATGGTCATCTTGAAAAAGAAGAAAGAGGCATACAAACAATGGAAGCTTGGGACAGTCCCCAAGGAGGACTATACAGCCAGATTAGAAAGGCTAAGGTGGTGACTGAATTTAAAATAGTGACAGAAATCAAGGACAATTAGAAGTCCTTCTTTAGGTATGTAGGGAACAGGAGGAAAACAAATGGAAGCGTGGAACCATTGCTTAACAACTCAGGACAGCTGGTTACCAACATTCAGGAGAAAACTGAACTCATGAATGACTACTTTGCTTCAGTATTTCACCAGACTAAGCGGAAAATCATACTAGATAAGGTTCAGAATGGGCATGGTGGAAATGACCAGCCTTCCTTTTGTTGACATTGAGCTGATACATGATCAGTTAGAAAAGTTAGACATTTATAAGTCAGCAGGACCAGATGAACTTAGACGCAGGAGTAGAGGTGGATGTCATTTTCTTGGATTTTAGCAAGGCCTTCGATACAGTATCTCATCCCATTCTCATAAATAAATTAAGAGGCTGTGATGTAGATGTTTATATGGTGCAGTGGGTGGCAAATTGGCTTAACGGTCACACCCAGAGAGCAGTAGTAGATGGGTCGGTATCGACCTGGAAGGATGTAGGTAGTGGCATCCTGAAGGGTTTGGTCCTTGGACGTGTACTCTTCAATATCTTCATCAGTGACTTGGATGTGGGTGTGAAGTGTACTCCGTCCAAGTTTGTGGATGATACTAAATTGTGGGGTGAAGTGCACACTCCAGAGGGTAGGAAACAATTGCAGGCAGACCTGGACAAGTTAGAAAAGTGGGCAGTACACAAGAGGATGCAGTACAACAAGAACAAATGCAGAGTGCTGCACATAGCGCGCAAAAATATCCAGCACACCTACTGGCTGGGAAGTCACCCTCTCAGCAGCACAGAAGCGGAAAGGGATCTCAGAGTCATAGTGGACTCCAAGATAAACATGAGTCATCAGTGTGACAAAATCATTAGCAAAGCACTTCATCATGCATCAGCAGATGCATGGCAAATAGGACCAAGGAAGTGATACTTCCCCTCTGTGCGGCATTAGTCAGACCCACAGTTGGAGTACAGAGTCCAGTTTTGGGTGCCATACTTCAAGAAGGATGTTGATAGACTCAAGAAGGTCCAAAGGAGAGTCATTCATATGGTCAGGGGCTTACAGGACAAACCCTATGAGGAGAGATCGAGGGACCTGGACCTCTTCAGCCTCCGCAAGAGAAGGCTGAGAGGTGATCTTGTGGCTGCCTATAAATTCATTAGGGGTTGCAGCAGGGGGAGGCTGAAGCAGCTTCTGCCACTGCGCGCTGCTTGTCTGAGGCAGCACACTGGCACCATCCCGCGCCTCCCTGCCCCAGCTGGGCGAGCAGCAGGAGAGTATAGTCCTGCAAGGGAGCAAGGGATCAGAGATGCTCCGTTCACCAGGGCTCCTCTTGGGGTAACAAGAAACAATGGTCACAAACAGACAGAGAGCAGATTTAGGTTAGATATCAAGAAAAACTTCACAGTAAGGGTGGCCAAAATTTGGAATGGGCTTCCAAGGGAGGTGGTGCTCTCCCCTACCTTGGGGGTCTTTAAGAGAAGGCTGGATAGGCAGCTGGCTGGGGTCATCTGACCCCAGCACTCTTTTCTGCCTAGGCAGGGAGTTGACCTTGATGATCTGTTGAGGTCCCTTCCAACCCTAGTATCTATGAATCTATGAAAACTTCATCCAAGAGTGCTGAAGGAGCTGGCTGAAGTCATCATGGAACCTCTGATGAAACTCTTCCAAAACTCATGGCACCTGGGGGAAGTCCCTGAAGACTGGAAGAGACCAATGTTGTGCCCATCTTCAAGAAAGGGAGGAAGGAAGACCCAGGCAACTATAGGCCAATTAGCCTAACTTCTATCCCAGGGAAAAGCCTGGAAAAATTCATCAAGGAATCTATGTGCAATATGCTTGTAGAAGGTTGGATTGTGAATGACAGCCAGCATGGCTTTGTTGCAGGCAGGTCTCATCTTACCAATCTCATCTCCTTCTATGACCAGGTAACTCGCCACCTGGATAAGAGAGAGGAAGTTGACGCTGTATACCTAGACTTCTAAAAGGCCTTTGATCTGGTACCCCATGATGCCCTCATGGGAAAAATGGAGGATTGCAGGCTTAACTGCTCAACAGTTAGGTGGGTAGGAAGCTGGCTGTGGGGTAGACCCAGAGAGTTCTAATGAATGGATCTCTTTGTCCTGGCAAGAAGTAGCCTATGATGTCCCTCAGGGGTCCGTGGTTGGTCTGGTGCTTTTCAACATCTTTATCAATGATTTGGATGTGGGGGTGAAGAGCTCACCGGCCAAATTCATGGACAACACCAAGTTATGGGGGAGTGTGGTCACGCTTGAGGATACCCTGCAGATACAGGCAGACCTAGACACACTGGCAAGTTGGGTGGATCAGAACCAGATGAAGTTCAACATTATAAAGTGCTCCATCTGGGGGTCAACAATCCAAGGAAAGCCATACAAGGAAAGGCTGAGGGACTTGGGTCTCTTCAGCCTAAAAAAGAGAAGACTGAGAGGGGACTTTGTAGCAGCCTACCACTATATATCAGGGGAACACATCAAGGGCTCAGCAAACAACTGTTCACCAGGGCACCCTTGGGGAAAACCAGGAGTAATGGCCACAAACTCCTGGAAGACCGTTTCAGGCTTAACACTAGGAAAATTTTCTTCACAGTTCCTGTCCGGACTGTGGAATAAACTCCCTCCAGAGGTGGTGCAATCACCTACCCTGGAAAACTTCAAGAGGAGACTGGATGGTCACCTCACTGGGGTCACCTCAGGGTCTGGGGCTGCTCCAAGGGTAAGGCAGCTACTGGGCAGGGCTCCCCAAGCTGCTAGTGAATGCAGCAGCCATGGAGAAGGATGGGGCAGGGTGCTAAAGGCTCAAGATCCCCTCCTCTGGTGACGTGTCACCAGAGGCATCAGGGAGAGGCAAGGGCTCAGCCAGGCTGCCCATGCTGGTGGCACTCGCAGGGTGAGGCCTGTCTTCTGGGGCACCCAAATGTGGGTCAACTGTTGCATAAAGGGCACCAACTTTTGGGCATGACTGGACTGATGATTGAAGTTGACCATGGCCATCCACTGTGCCTGCAAGACCTTGACCTTTATGCAGCACTGCCACGCCAAACGAGTGCCCTCGCTCCCGCATCCCACCAAACAGGGCCTCAACTGTAGGCATTCAAGTGCCTGCCCCATGCACACTGCCTCTGCACATGAGCATAGCCCCAGAGCACCACAAGGTCATCCACCTCCTCCCGGGTCCAGTTGGGAGCCCTGACAGTTGGCACAGGTGTGCACATGCGGGCAGGGCTGGAGTGACATAGTTGTACAGCTCTACTTCTCTGGACCCGTGTGGCTGTCCCTGTGTAGCTGGCCCTGGACAGCTGCCAGCAGTGCTTAGCACAGGGCCACAGCCAGGGACTGGGAGCTGCATGGCAGAGGCACTTTACCACAGGACCTGCAAGCACAAGAAACAGATGGGGTGAGCAGCAGCCGGGAGCAGATGCTGGTCCTGCTGCCAGAGACAGCCAGGCAGCAGCCCTGGGGACATCTCAGGGCTGAGCAAGGGGTGCAGCAAGCTGCAGCCCTTTGCAACATTCCCCTGTAGCCAAGCAGCAGCTCTGGAGTGGGACAGACTAGGCAGAGGCAGCCTGTGGCTTGTCCAGGGGGGCACATGGGTCCTGCTGGGCTCCTGCACAGAACAGCAGTCTTGTGCAGGCTTCAGCTGTGTGCGCCCCAGGGTACAAAATGGCCACAGGACTTTATAGCCTGCAGCTAGGGGCTGCTAGAGAGAAGCCCAGCCCTGGGGGAGGGAAGAGAGATGACCAACCAGGAGCCCTGGGACTGGGCTCAGGCCAGCTCCCTAGTGGCTGGGCAGACCTGGCACTAAAGTTAGTGCCACGTAGCATCTACGCATGTGTCAATGCGCTTTAACTAATCACATCTAAATTTGCACCTGCATTTTTAGGTGTCATATTTAGATGTGATTAACCCAAATTCAACATTTTTAATGCGCATTATGAGCATGCATGTGTAGACGTGCGCACTTAATGCACATTAAATTCGGCTAATGCATGTTAATGTGTCTCATGTTAGACGTGCCCACTGAGTCATAAGAGTGAAAGCTGCAAGGGTTAGTATCTGGTCCTTTTTATTAAGAAACTACTTGTTTTGTATGTATAAAAAACAATGACATGATTGGATTATTCAGTCAGGTTTATTCACTGAGACGTCTAGTTCTAGGAGCGCACAGGGGACCTGTATATTACCATATTTATCTGAATCAAAGATGACTTCAAACTTAAGATGACCCCCCCAATAATTAGATTCTAGACATATAAAATTATAAATTTGTTATGATTGTCCGTGTCTAGAATCTAATTATTTGGGGATCATCTTAAATTTGTCGCTTCCATTACTGTGGTGGGGAAAGTAGCGGCAGAGCAGCAGGCAATAGGGAGGTGAGTTGCTGGGAGTGGAGAAGGTCAGTTTTCTGATCTCTACCCCTTGCCCTGCCTCTCCTAGCCTATGCCTGTCTCCGCCACCTCACCACCTACCCCCATCACTTGCACCCCCACCTGCCTACACTTTCCACTGCTGTCCTCAGCTGATCTGGGCAAAGGAAAGCCCCAGAGATTCTCCTGACCTGCCCCTGCCCAATGCTGTGGGGGGCAGATGTACAGGGAACCCAGCTTTACTGGGGACAGTGGTGGAAGTGAGCACTTCCCTCCTTCCAGCATTTTCTCCCAAACAGCAGGGGAAACTGGGAATTGGGGGAAGCCAGGAAGAGAGACGGCACTGAAAGAAGGAACCTGTGTGCTACTGCCCCTAGCCAACTTGGGATTCCTGCAAAGCTTCTAGCTGCAGCACATGGCAGGAGCAAGCCAGGAGCAGTTCTGTGGCTTCCCTAAACCAGACAGACTTGCTCCCCACAGCTTCTTGCTGGAGTTGTCCCATATTTGATTCTAAGACAAGGCTGTGCTTTCCCTGTGTTGAATTGGGGGGGAACATATCTTGGAATTTAGGAGATACACTAGCTGTGTTAGCTTTTCAATGGGAGACTTGGGAGTTTTTGCCATTTTCTTACAATCCTTCCTTATGGTAATTTGTTTTTACATGACTCATTACAAGATGTGGGCTGAAATCTCACAGGCTTTCAAAAGCTGAATCTAAAAATTCCTACGGACCACAACAGACCCACTGAAAATCAGGCTTAATAGAATGGCTCATGGATACAACAGTACAGTATGGCATCCAGGAAATCCAACACTTTCATTCTCAAATTTCACTTGGATGGGAAAGGGAAACTTACTATCAGAACCATGTAGCCATGTACAAAAAACAATGTTCTACAGGTGCATGAAATTACTCAGATTTGTATTTATTCAGAAGGGCCTCCAGTCACCATTGTGGGTGGATTCACTTCCTTTATTTAAATACTTTTCATACCCCCTCACTCTGTTTGCATCACAGTCATAAATGACGTCCATGCCATTCTCCACCAGAGGAGCAGGAATGCTAAAATGATTCTCATTCTTGCATTTTCCTTACATTTAAAGCTGCAAGAACAAAAAACAAGCAATTGTTCTAATCCCATTTTCACTGACTGCCTTCTCCACATACCTAATATTTTCCCAGTGATAGAAGATAATGCCTTGGTCATCACTGCTTTTGCTTCCATCCAGTGTAGTGCCTTCCACCGGAAATGTCAATTCCTTATCTGGACCAACTACAGCTATTGGAGGACTATTATTTTCTGCAAAAATAACATTTAATACATTGTATTTTTTTCTTCAGCAATCAATAGTGCGGATTATCAGTCACTGGGACATTTTTTAATGAAAAACAGAATTTTTAATGAAAACATCATTTAATTACCAGCTGCTCATAGTTCTTCAAATAATGCTGAAAGCATGAATCACCAAGCAGAATTTGGGGCATCAGGATGGGAATAGGTACTTCTTCAGAAACAGGCATGCAAGTCAGGTTCTCTTGCACTAATATGGATGGATACATAGAGTGGGGTGTAGAGCAGTGATTCTGGGGTGCTGCAAGATCCTTTTAAGGCTGTCACACAATGCTACAGAATATTAGCACCTACATTTGATTCACAAGATAAACCCAGGAAGCCTGTCCCCACAAGCATGCGTGTGTGGTTTGCGGTGCCTCAAAGCTCTTTGAGGTGCCACAAACTACATGTGGCACATGTCCACCCTTGTGCCGCACTGCTAACTTGCAGCATGGTAGTTTTTTGTTGTTGTTTTTTTTTAAACAAACACTGGAGATCCCGGTGTCAAAAAAACAACAACCCAAAAAACAAAAAACAAAACATGCTGCTAAAAAAAAAAAGTGGCATAGCACACATGGTAGCAGCATGTGTCACCAGAAACCGGAACCTGGATGTACCCAGAGATTTCAAATAAGGATCTAGTGTGTCAAAAACCATTCTGTTCTGTCATGGTCTTCCTTGAGTTCTTTGCAACAGAAAAATTGCTCTATTATTTTTCCATAGTCAAGAAATGTGTAAAAATTAAGAGCTGGCACATTATGAGAGGTGCCTTTAGTCTAAATCAGGTGAGAATCACTGATGCAGGGGTATCTGCCTCACATAAGTTTATTTTTCACCATTGCGTTTCATGGCACAGTCACACTTCCAGAGCTTTTGCAGCACACAGATTGGTCATTTAAAACGGTTCTGCCACAAACCACCCAAAAATGTTGGGTTTGTTTGGTTTTTTGTTTGGTTTTTTCTAATTTCAGTGTATTCCATTGACTTCCACCAGGCTGAATGTGGCCTTTTGTCTTAAAGGAGGAACCTTGACTCAGATCCTTAACTAGTGTCAACTGGTATGCCAATTTAAATACAGCTAAAGATTTAGTAAGGCAATGTCTTCTCTATTATTCTACTTTCTCTATCCTTGTTCTGACAGCAAGGTCAAGGTCATCGTGTAACCATTTTCCAGAACACTTATTTGCCCTTGGACCAGATTTAATTAGCATAATGTTTATAATACCACAATCTCACCACCTTCAAAGGCATAGAGACTGGCTGTGTTTGTCATTTGTGTTCTTTATTTCTATACTACAAATCCAGAATTAAGCTTCATTGCACAAAGCAAAGTATGGCATAGGACCACGCACTCAGAGCCAACCTTGCTGGACACAGCACTGCCAGTATTAATAGAAGTTTTTTTCATATGGACAGAGCACAATGCTACCAAGAGAATCAAAAAAACGGAAAAGACACTATGCAAAGACAATCAGCCTGAAAATCTGAGGAGATCTGGTGTAGTTGGGGTGCCGTTTCATCTTCAGAAAGTTTGAAAAGCAAAGGTCTTTGAAAACTAATAATGCAATTTATTTATCTATTTGGCAAGCTTAGGCTGTGGTCCTAGGGTACAAATTACTAAAGAATCCTGGAAGATGAATGAATGGCAGAGCAAGAAGAAACTGAAATTAATTAAGTCCCAATTTATGTGCTAGATTATATCAATATGCAGGCCATGCAGGACCTTCAGCACAATACAGCTTATAATGTAAGTTACAATAGATCTTCACAAAAGCTGGTTAGTAGAAGCATTCACCACATAGATCTGTGTTTCATTTTGTAATTCTCCTTTAAAGAAAAAGCCCTTGATATGGCAACTGCTGGGTGCTCTGCCTGCCAACAAGAGAATTCAAGGGCAAGACATTCAAGACCTGCTGTAATTATCCTAATTTCAGTTTATCACTGAGGAAGTCAGACCTTTTATAGGCTACTTACCAGGCTGTACAATCACTGTGACCTCAGCAGTGGACTGTTGTTTAACTGAGTCTGTAACTGTCAGCTGAAATGTATAATCTCCTTCCTGCATTGCAGATAACTGGAGGAATGGAGTTCGCACTCCCTACATAGTAAGAGGGGGGAAGAAGAGTAAGAAAGAGAATGCTAGGAGATAAAGCTAGGTTACAAACGCATACAAGATGGGCTGCATACCACAACTTGGCAGAGTAAGCAATTTACAATTTAAATTTCACAGATACTGTCTGAGCAAATGGCTCATGTTGGTTTAAAGGAAAAGAATACATTTAAAACCCAACGCCCAGGCAAATTTAGCATACAGCTCTCTACCTCTATTTCACCTGCAATCAGTAAACCTTCATTTCTTATTTTGGTATAACTGCTGCATTATGTTGAATAACAATGACCCATAATGTCTTGTGAAGCAAGAAATATTTACATTCATAACTAACAGATTAAATTATGATCCGCTTTACTAAAACTTGTTCTATTTCCTTGCAGATGAGCCTGATAAACACTGAAAGGTTATTTAAATGTTATACTCATGTGTAAAAAGAACAATTTTTATCAATTAAAATGTCATTAAATGCAAAGATAGACCAGACTGTACTTGCTTCTCACAAATGTGTATGGGATTTATGTTCTTATATAAGAACAACAACATTCTACTGTTAATTATGCATTATCTCCTACTGAAAATCTCAAAAAAGAAAAAATTTAAAATATACATAAAGACCAAAATCCTGGTCCTACTCATGTTCATAGATGGTTTGTCATTGACTGCAGAGGGATCATGATTTAGTCCTAGAAGGAAATGTTCTTCAAATGTTCTACTAAAGCTCATTCCACACATTTATAGTGGATTTAAATATTAAATATAAATGTGTAAGAGGGCTCATTATTGCTTATTTATGGGTCATTATGTTAACAAGTTGTCATTTGTGGCATCATAATACCTATTGATTGTGTTACACCATAATTTCCTTCTATGTCTTTAAATAAATGTTAATGAAAACTATAAACATAAATTATATTATTAATTATTCATCAGAGCTAACTTTTAATTCAAACAACTGCCATTGGTCAAAGCTGCAGTCCTGATATCCTCAGCTTTATAGCAATGAAAATTATTCCCCATTCTCAAAAATAACCTGTAAAATGCCTTCACATTTCAGTATTCAGTATGTGATTAACCCTTTGGGTATCTTAGATCAGTGACCCATTCATGCAAGGGAGTCGCTTTGGACTGAAGTAACACTCTAAGCTAGAGCTGAAGTGTGTAAAGAAAAAGGAAAAAAGTATAGGAATACATTATATTGATATAAGCATAAGAAAGTCAACTGCACTAGGAGATTGTACTAATGTAACTATAGTGCCTTAGAAACCACTATAGACATAATTATGTAAAAATTGTCTGTAGGAAATCCCTAAAATATCCACCTTCAACATACAAGTTCCCTTTGGAGCCTACTAAAATGGCTTCTGTGGTTCAGGTGACCAGGGCTTAACTATGAGCCCTGCAGAAAACCAAGAATTATGGATAGGTTATACAAAATCAGGTTCTTAACTTTGAAGAGAAAAAAAAGAAAAAAAGACAGACAACCATAGCCAAAAAAAAAAGCAAACTGACCTAACTTGAACATAACAAAAATGTTACTGAATATGAAGGACGTTAGAGGGAAGCCTCACAGAAGCTGGTAAGTATGATGCCCACCTTTCATTCAAGATAAATAGAAGAAGCACTATCATTCCTTTCTGAAAGAAAGGTACAATAGCCAACATAAAGGAAGCATAAGGTATGTGGTTGAGAAGTTTTGTCCACTATAAATGCAAGGGGCTGGATATTATTTGCTACTGCTGTACATACATGTGGCAGACGGAGACTGCAAGAGAAATACTAACATGTTGCTGAGGGACAGGCAGAAGAGAACTTTTTTTTGGGTAGAGTGCTGCCAGGAAAAAGACTTGCAACAGAAAGCAGGGAAAGTCCACCTGTTGTTGGATTCCTTCTGTGCTCAAGGAAGCAGGACTCTGTCCACTCCTTGTAAGCAAACAAGATCTTAAAAAATAAACACACAAACTCCTGACTCCACCTCAATTTCTCTTCCTAGCACAGGCATCCAAGAAGACACCGAACACTGGCAAATTGCTGAGGTCAAAAGGAATAAGACTGGAGTCACAAAAGTAGGTTCCAGTTTCCAGGGACAGAAATTGTAAGCTAGTCTTCCTGTTGAACTCAGTAGAAAATCACATCATAAGTGATCACAGAAATCAAACATGGGCGAAAAGGAAACAAAATTTAAAGAGGGAGAACGGGAGGCATCACATGAAATCAAGAAGGTAACAGTAATCTCTACATAACTGCTGGTATATATGGTGGTAATTTCTACACATTTATTCCCGCAACTAGCAATAGAAGATCAAACAAGAAGGAAGCTTACCTGTATTGCTACAACCTTGCCTTTACTTTTGGGACTAAGTGTCCACTCATAGCTGACAATTTCATGATCATCAGTGCTCTGGTTTCCATTAAGCGTGATGAAATTTTGAGGCAAAGTTATTGCCTGATTCGGTCCCGCATTGGCAATGGGTGGGTAATCCACTGGTTTGTTGACCATCAGTAATGCAATAGTAGAGTTAGCTGCTCCATCTGAATCAATTACAGTTAGCCTACAGCAGAGAAGGGTATCCATTAATCTGGATCTAAACAACGAATAAAGTTCTTCTCCTGTGTCCTTCTCTTGGAAATTGGAGATGAAAAAAACCCAAACACCTAAAAAGACAAGGGAACCCTTTCCTGATAGCCCTGAATTAGAGTATTACTACATGCTGAAAAGGAATCAGAGGTGCCTGACTGCTGGTGTTAGTAGGGAAGAGGAAGAAAAAATTGTTTTTCAAATATTGCAGTACGCTACACTACAAATGCATTTGTAGTTTGAAATGCACATATTTAGGATGACAAGAGAAATTCCGTTTCCACTGAGGTTAATGGCAAATCACCAATGAGTTCAGAGCTAAGATTTCACCCCAACATCCCAAATTCCTAACAAAACTTACCCAGTAAGACCCCAACCATATAATTGACTGGCTGCAGTGGACAAATTCCTGCTAATAACTAAATAAAAACATTGAGATGCATAAAAATATTTCTAATACAAGCCAGAGCAAAGGAACAGCAATATATGTTCGGAGTTGCTTGGATTTTTTTTCCTTAATGAAACACTGAATTCATTTTACCAGGATTTAACATCATCCCAAATTTGTGTGGATGATGTCACTGGAAGCCAAGTCACAAAACCAAAACCATGCAGTGTTCCATTATATCATTGCTTTAAAAATCACAGAATTGAAAAACAGTTAATACTGAGATAAGTATTACTACAAATAAAAGACATCTGAGGTATGGCATTTATACTGTGCTTCTCACTGTGACATCTGAAAATACCCTTAGCTCAGTGACTAATATAACTAAGCAAGAGGTAGGAGCCCATTTTGAGTGCCCACTAATTTTAGCAATAAGGGAAGGATACTTTTGCAATAAATGCAAAGAACTGAAGGGTTCTATTCTTTATTCTGATGTGGTTTATTTTTGTGACCTGAGGCCCTAGACAAATGTAACATTTGAAATGCTCAACATGCCTTTGAAGCACTCCAAAAAAAACAAACGTACAGACATTCACAACCAGAGAAACATAAGAATTGCTATACTGGGTTAGACTAACAGGCCATCTAGCCTAGTATTCTGACACTAGCAGCAGTGGATGCTTTCAGAGAGCACTGAACCAGGTATATCTACAACAGGAGTGGGCAAAATACAATATGGGCTGGATCCGGCCCGCCAGGTAATTGGATCTAGCCCCCAGCTGCCCCCTGCGGCCTTCTGCATGGGGTCATGCCCTGCCTGCTCGTGCCAAGCAGCCTGTGCCAGGCTCCTGCTAGCCCAGGCCCCAGCCAGGTTGCAGCTTCTGGTGCGGCTGTTCCCGGTTCTGCGCCTCCAGCTGCAGCTCCTGCTTCCAATCTTGCCTCTGCTGCACCCAGTGAGCACTTTCAGCCAGGCAGTTCCTACCCCAGCTCACAGGGCTCTGGCTTCAGCTCCTGGATGCCTTTCACTGGAAGGAAGACACCTGGGATCTGAAGCCAGAGCCCCATGCACCTGCCAGGATCAGCACACCATGGTGCGGCACGAGTCAGAGGAGAAGCTGCTGCTGGAGGTGGGGGGCACAGAGCAGCACTCAGCCGGCTGCAGCCACTCTGGGAACAGCCTGCAGGAAGCTGCTCCTGCTGCACCAAGTCATGTTGACCATGCCGTTTCGGGAGGGTGGGCGAGCAGCTTCAGCTGAGTGGCTCCTGCCCCAGCACCAGAGCTCTGCCTTCAGCTCCCGGCTGCCTTCCCACTAGCTGGAGCCAGAGCCTCCTTCCTGGAGCAAGAACAGGAGCAATTTTCAGCACTGTGGCTGCAGCTGGCTGGATGCTGCTCTGTGTCCCCCACCTCCAGCAGAAGCTCTTCTTCTCGCTCTTGCCACACTGCACCACACTGCTCCTGGCAGGCACGTGGGGCTCCAGCTCCACATCCCAGAACTGGAGGCGAAGGGCACAGAGCAACACCCAGACAGGCTGTGGGCACAGGTGGGAGCACAGCACAGACTGCCCCAATGCAAGCAGGCAGGGTTCAGCCCCATGTGGAGCACCACAGGGGTAGCACAGACCACACTGCCTGGGGGAGCTCTGCTGCATGTGCCCCTTGCCCCCCAGCCCCCACCACAGCAGGATCCCAGGACCTAGTGTCCAGGCAGCCTCCCCTCCACACACATACACATGACCCTCCCATACCTAAAGGGCTGGGTCACGTGATCCCAGCCTCACCCTCCCACTTCTGAGCACTACTCCCCCCCTATGCACAGCCCCACAGGGAGTTTTGGCGAGTTGTTGTGGGGGCAGGGGGCAGTGATGCTGACTTGGCCTGCGACAGCTATTCAAAACTCCCTATGTGGCCCTCAGGCCCCAATAACTGCCTGCCCCTGGTCCAGAGTAATCTATCCCCTATTTATTACCCTCCCTGGCATCTACAACCGTTCATTTGGAGCAGTGGTTCTCAACCATTTTAGAATCAATGCACCCATCCATAACTTTTGTGAATTGAGTTGCATCTTATTTCAAGAACTGATTTATTACAGTGCTGACCTTCTTGCAGAAGCCAGGCAGTGGGGGTGGGGGAATGGCCAGGCAAGGAAAGCCTGAGCATGTTCCTATCTGCTTGTCTCCTCCCACCTGAAGCCTGAGCCTTCCCTTATTTGCTTATCTCCTCACACTTCCAGCAGCACTCTTCAAAGGATCTCACAGCACCCCAGGGTGCCCTGGCACCCTGGTTGAGAATTACTGGTTTAGAGATGCCAGAGGAAGCATCTCCAACTGTTGTAATAGCTATTACCAGATTTATAGTCCATGAATTTGTCCAGTCCGTTTTTTGACCTGACTACACTATCTGCCTCTACAACCTCCTGTAGAAATGAGTTCCACAAGTTAACCACATGCATGTAAAAAAGTACTTTCTCTTGTTAGTTTTCACTCTGTTTCCCACTAATTTCAGTGGATGTTCCCTAGTTCTAATATTCTGGGATTAGAGTTCCCTATTCACTTTGAGCACTTCAAAAATAATCTTCAAAAACTGAGGAACCTCTCGGAAGAACTTCCTGGACCATCTGTGCACTATACTTAATGTACTTTATGCTGCTCAGTCCCCCAGCATCTCATAGTGCTCCACTCTCCCCCCTTCCTGCCCCCACAGGATAGACAGCCAAACAGTACTCTCCTGTGAGCTCAGCTGTCCTTAGCAATCTCCAGAGCTCAAACGTCATGCACATAATCCTTTTTTTTCCAGCCCCAGGGTCTTATATTTCCAGAGTCTTTTGGTTCTGTTTGGGGGGGGCATGCCACTGTCCTCAGCAATCTCTGGTACCTGGGACTGGAGAGAACATTCACTGAATGACTCTCCACCTCTGGAACCATAAAACTAGAGGATAAGTGCACAAAAGAGTACTTGTTGGCCATCTACCCAGCTCCTCCTCAAGCCACGTGAGGGAGTGGAGCCACAGGAATAAACAACCACTGGCTGTCATGTTCCCTGTCTGTGATCACATTACTTCATACCATCACAGTGATTTTGAAGCAGTCCAGCAGGGCAGGCTGCAACAAGGGGCTGCACACCTGTCCACAGCCTGAAAGCATTTTGAATTTGCAGCACTCCAAGCTCGAGAAGAATTTGAAGCGCTTCAAATTCACGCATGCCCATGGCCTTAGACAGGTCATTTTAAGACCACATGTGGATCTCTTGGAAACTTAATTCATTTCTAATTGGTGAGCATTTTGAGTTCTTTTGCTTAGCATGTATTCTAGTAGCATGATGATCATCAATCTGGACAACGGGTCAATTTCCACCACTGCCACCAGTGTAAATATGAAGTACCACCAGCAAAATCAGATATTTACACCTGTATTACTGAGAACAGAATTTGGACCTATATTTAAATGTGTACTGTACTGACATGTAAAGCTTGCATAAAGCATCACTTTGTTTGTACATACATGCAAGTTCTCTATAGATTCCAAATCCTTGATGATATGTTGATGCATAATCTGTTGTTTGAATTGATTTTATGAATCTGTAGGCAAATTGCCAATTGAAGTCAGTGATTCTTCTGTCTACAAAAGGATAAGATCCTAAGCTAAACTCTCCAGAAAATGGAAAATCTATCATAATGAATACCCAACATTATAACAGCATTTTTTTTCTGCTGCCTGTAGACATCTGGAATGGTTCCAGCTTTAGCAGGCCAGAATGGAAGATGAATGGTAACAATGAAAAGGCTTTTATTGAAGAAGTTAATGATTCTTGAAGAACTGACATACCAGACTGCTTTGCAAGGATCTCTCTTCCAATCCTGTTCTGTCTACAGTTTCTCCTAAAGCAGAATTGTCTACATACAGTTACTGGGGGGCACTTGCCAAATTGCAGGTCAAAACTCTTGGAAAAAAAAAAAAGGAGTTCTCTCCCTAGCTATAAACATAAAAAATCTTTGTTGAGTTTTCTGCTGTGTCATTCTGTATAATAGTATGCTGCAAGGCAGGCATGATGCAACACATCCATCCTGTGAAATCAGTTTAAATGTTTCTTAATTAACCTCTTTGTAAGGCTTTTTCACCAAACTACAGGAAGGAAAATAATTTGCGGAAGACGGACACAACCTTCCAAGGAGTCAAATATGATCATATAGTAGAAAGCAATAAGTTTCTAACAGAAATCAGGATGTGCACAATGTGGGGGTGGAAGGGAAGCAGTTCACTTACCTGAAAGTGTAGTTGCCAGGAACAAGGTTAGACAAGTGTAGAACAGGTATGTCAGCAGATGCTTTCTGTTCCCGCAATGGACCTTTAATTTCCTCCCAGTGATAACTCACAATCTTAGTATCATCTCTGCTTTCTACATTTGGTAAAGAAAAATACCAGTATCATGAATTAACAGTAGTAATATAAAAGACACATAATACTCCATATTTAATTAGTTTTCTATTAGCTTTAGGAGAAACATAAACATGTTTGCGCACACATAAAAATATACAAAGGTCTCTTTACTAGCAGTTATCAAGCCACAGGATCTGAGTAAGATACTTAAAGTAAGATATAAATGTGCTTGTGTGTGTTAAATGTTGATTTTAAAAAAAATGGCAACATATCTATGCAAATAGCATTTAAAATGTAGAAGGATGTGTATTTAGCTTGCTTATTCAGTTTAAAAAAACCAGTCCAGGGACATAAAATGCCCCTGAAATCCCAAAGAGACTATGAGTAATCTCACTCCATTTCTCAAGGCAGTTGTATACTTATTTCTCAACTTTGCAAAACAGGAATGCATTGCATAACTTTAGGATGCTTGCATAATTCCATTAGCTTTTTTGAGTTCAGTGGGGATACTTCTGTCCATAGATTCACAGAGTCGGAAGGGACTTCACGGGCCATCTAGTCTGACACCCTGCCCCTGGCAGGCAAGAAAAGAAACACCAACCCTGGTGATCCCAGCCAGGTGCCTGTCCAGTCTCTTCTTGAAGACCCCCAAGGATGGGGCAAGCACCACCTCTCTTGGGAGCCCATTCCAGATTCTGGCAACCCTGACCGTGAAGAACTTTTTCCTAATGTTCAGCCTGAACCTTCTCTCTAGTAGCTTATGGCCATTCTTCCTTGTTGTTCCAGGGGGTGCCTTGGTGAACAGATCATTGCCTACTTCATGTTGCTCTCCCCTTATGAATTTGTATGCTGCCACAAGGTCCCCTCTCAGCCTTCTCTTGGAGATGCTGAAGAGGTTAAGGTCCCTTAGCCTTTCCTCGTAGGGCCTTCCCTGCAGGCCTCTAATCAGGCAAGTGGCTCTTCTTTTGACCCTCTCCAGGTTGTCTGCATCCCACTTGAACTGTGGCGTCCAGAACTGGACACAATACTCCAGCTGTGGTCTGACCACTGCCGCATAGAGGGGGAGAATCACTTCCCTGGACCTGTTTGTGAAGCACCATACAGCTAAGTATGTTAAACATGTGCACAATCAGGGATGAAAAGAATGAACAGATTGTGTGAGAATGAGCAAAAGCATTCAGCACAGGTCCAACACAGGACAAAGAGAAAAACAAGTCTTCAGAAAGCTTGTACCCTCCCTGGAGCTGTGAATAGAAGAAGCAGCCACAAGAGTGGTTGTGCAAGAGGAATCAGCACCCCCAGTAGGACATGGAGAGATTCCTATGCAGGCTCTATGCCTATACCAGGGGTGCTCAACCCCCACCCTGAGGGCCAGATCCAGCTCTTGGAGCCATGTAATGTGACCCACAGGGCTTCCCATGGATCCCGTGGGGAGCCCTGTGAGCTATGGCCCTGAATTCTAGGTTGGGTGCACAGAGTGGCAGGGGGCTTAGTCCCAGTGTGCAGGGGTTGAGCAGAAGCAGTGTGGAGCCCCCAGAGCCTGATCCCAACCAGATTTTATAGATTTCATAGACGTTAGGGCTGGAAGGGACCTTGCAAGATCATTGGGTCCAGCCCCCTGCCCAAAGGTGACTCATATTCATCTTGTGGTCAACCATGACCCCCAAGTCTCTGTCATTCATAGTGCTAGTGAGTGTAGCACTACTGAGCCTATAGGTATGATGTGGGTTTTCTCCCAAGGTGGACCACCTTGCATTTCTCCATGTTGAAAGTCATCAGGTTTTGATCCACCCACTTTGTGAGCCTGTTCAAGTCAGCCTGAATCCCCAATCCTCTAATACGACCGTGCTTCCCCATAATTTCGTGTCATCTGCAAACTTAGCCAGTCTGCTTCTGACACCTGAATCCAGGTCATTTATGAATATGTTAAAGAGTACTGGTCCAAGTACTGAACCCTGAGGGATGCCACTGGTCACCATGCGCCATGTTGACTCAGTTCCATCGACTATCACTCTCTAGGTCCAACCATGGAGCCAGTTCCCCAGCCAACATATCATAAGGTGGTTGAGGCCGCAGTTCCCCAATTTTGTCCTGAGAACATCATGGGAGACCAAGTCAAAGGCTTTTTTTGAAATCCAAGTATATGACACTAGCCTCTCCTCCCCTGTCCAGGTGATGTGTTGTGGTAGAGCTCCTTTGGTGTCTGCCACTTTAAGAGCATGAAGAGGCAACCTGCAGGTGTGGCCCCCAGCTCTGATGAGTGGCCATTTTAAGATTCAGGACAACAGAGCTGGAGGCAGCAGTCTGCTGCCTGGCACCGAGGAAACAGCATCTTCTGGTGGAGCTGCTGCTTTGGTGCCAGTAGGAGGTAAGGGCAAGAGCTTATGGGGATGGCTAGGAGGCTCTTGGTCCTGGGCATGACCTAAAACTGCACCCTGCCAGGGATAGATGGTGTGGTGGGGCTGTTCATGGCAAGACAGTCCCCCAGAAATGCCAGGCCAGTTAGCACCCTGGTGAAAGGCGAGGAGAGGCGCCTTAACACCAGCCCCCACCTTCAGGTGGGTTATTTATCATTGGAGGCAGTAGAGGGCCAGGCACACCCAGGGGTGGCACCTGATCCCATGTGGAGTGTGAGACCCCAGAGTGGGTAGTGGGGCCAGGCACGGCTGTGGCCACCTGAGCCCATGCGGGATGCAAGACCCTGGAGAGTGAGAGTGGTGGGCCAGGCATGCCAATGAGGGGCACCTGAGCCTGCAGGGGTGCTCAACCCCAAGCCCCAGCATAGGGAGCAGAGTATGTGCCTCAGAGGAGGCAGAGGTGCAGAGTGGGATGCAGAGGGACACCTATCAGCCTACACAAAAGTGGCGAGGCCCTGGGAGCAAGGGGGCGAGTGAGGTCCAGGTAAGCCTTCAGACACCTGAGGCCAAAGGTAGGCTGGAGGCTGAGGAAAGGCCCCAAGAGTGAGTGGCAGGAGTAGGCGCCCGAGGAATGGGCATTATGTTCTGGTGTGGGGCCAGAGCTAAAGTAGGTTCACAGTTGAGCAATCACTCAGTCAACACACAGTGGGGTAGTGGGAGATGCTAGAGAGACTGCGCCGAGACTGACCAAAGAATGGAGAACTAAGCTCAAGGATCTCATGCAGTAGGATGGTATGAGTGTGGCCCAAGGGGTGGTATGCAAGAGACCAGGTGATAGCCAGTGGAGTGTAAGAGGCCCCGGTGAGAGACGGGTGATATTAATGTGGCCTGTAACATGGCAGTGTGAGATAGACACAACTGTGTATAGTTGGGCCTGGCCTTGAGCTGGCAATTGAACAGCAGGCCATCTGCAAGGCTTCGGATGCAGTACAGCAGTGGTTGGAGCTGCATACATAGGCCCAAGAGAACAGGACATTCAAAGGGCAACCTCCTGCCTAATTAAGACCCTAATTATTTAACAAGGCATGGCAGGCGAGAGAGGCAGGCAGCGTGCCCAGGGGCAGGTGAGAGACTAGCACTGTGGCTGATTGGGGAGATCCCACTTTGCCACACATGTCACCTGGTCATAGAAGGAGATGAGGTTGGTCAGACACGACCTACCCATAATGAAGCCATGTTGGCTGTCTCTCAGGATGATACCTTCTGTTAGCCTATTGTTGATGGATTCTTTAATCATTTTTTCCATGCTCTTTCCAGGGTTTGAGGTAAAACTGATTGGCCTATAGTCCCCTGGTTCTTCCTTCCTTCCTTGAAGATAGGCACCACAATGGACCTTCTTCCAATATTTAGGAACCTCTCCTGAGTGCCACGAGTTCTCAAATATCCTTGCCATCTGTCATGCTATTATGTCAGCCAATTCTTTTAGCACTCTTGGATGCATTTCAACAAGGCCTGCTGACTTATGGATGTCCAGCCTCTCAAGGTGTTCCCTCACAAGGTCTTCACCAAATGTAGGCATGTGGTCACCCATACCCTCATAATCCTGTGTCCTGTCAGGCAGGGTGATCCGCTTGGGCTGGTGAAAAACCAATGCAAAGTAATCATTAAGGAGATTAGCTTTTTCCTGGGTGTCAGACGGGGAGAGGGGGGACGACGACAACGACACCTGTTCTGAGCTAGGCAGGACAGCACAGGGCTCTGTGCTGTCTCTGTCTGGCTGGGATCAAGCTCTGGGGCCCTGCACCACCTTTACCCAGCCCCCTGCATATTAGGATCAGGCTCCAGGGATCCGCGCTGCCTTCATCCAACACCCTCATGCTGGGATCAAGCCCTGGGGACCTGTGCCACCCCTACCTAGCCAGGATTGCCTCCAACTGCCTGGAGCTCAATGAGGGACCCTGGGGCCCAATACTGGCATGAGGGGACAGAATAGGGCCCAATCTACCCTGCAGATCTGCTCCAAACCATTCATCTGGCCCACAGGGCAGCCAAAATTGTACACACCACTGACAAAGACTGATACAAAGGATGACAACAGAGTCTCTGGGAAAAACCAGAATGCCAAGTCTGTACAGCTTACATCACAATTCTAGGTCTACTGCCAACAGATAAACCTTGCCCACTTGCTCCCACAGTGGACGGGGGGAAGGAAAAGGGGCGATACCAGGAATCAGCCATTTGACAGTCTAGATGACTTCAGAGTGGCCCCAAGGAAATTTGAGTGAACTCTCCAAGAGGGAGAGCCACAGCGTGGCCCTGGGTTATGCTCTCAATTGCCTACTCTGCTTCACTGACAGTCTCTGTTTCACCCTAGAATGGATGAGTGGCTGTAGCTCGTTTTGTCAGCAACAGACCCACAAGGGGAGACAGGCTCTATAGACAGCCTGGACAGGACACAAAATTAGCATTTGGGTAGATCTAGTGGCCTCCACTTGGCTACTGTGGGTAGAGAAGCCATGGAATAGATACACTAGAGTCCTACACTCTGGCCCAAAGTTGAAGGGACATATTTTATCTCCCTAGTCTCATCCTGCACTTGGCTACATACAGTTCAATTGATTAAGCTTCAGATGAGAGACAAAGAGAGAAAAAAAGTAAACATTCATGAGTATTCTCTGACAAAGTTCATTTAGCAACACATTGTATGTCTCTCCATGCACCTTATTTAAATCATAAAGACCCCGATTCATTGAGGCACTTGACAACATGCCTAAATTTAAGCAATTTCTACTGACTTCAAACAGGTCCAATCGCCTACTTGAAGTTATACACATAATAAATAGCTAGGTCTTTCAGAGCTTTACCCCTGGGCTAAGGGATGTAGCACAACTTTACTTGAGTGAGTGATTTCTGATTTGACAGCATTTTAAACACACACATACACTGTACAAATGGCAAAATTCAAGAAAATGAAGCCTAAGACTATGTCATTCTGCTTTCTACTTAAAAATGAATCTACAGAAAGGACTTTTTTTTAAATGAAAGGCAAACAAACATTTCTGACAAGGAATGATGACATTCAGCAGAGAGTATCCCACTTCACACAAAGTGTTGGAGATGGAGTAAACAATCAGAACTATCATTCCTAAAAAATATTACAACTGTGTATAAGGACCATAAGATAAAATTAAAGAGTTCCCCAGTACATACGACTGCCATCAATGAAGGTGGATGTGGTAGGCAATGAGACCTCCTGTACTTTGGGTGAAACAACGGCAACAGGTGGCTGGTTTACTCTGACTGCTGTGTGGAAAAAGGAGGGGAACAAAAGCTATTAAAAGAAAACCTATGCAAATCTATTCTGCCAATTCCTTAGGCAAATCAACAGTGAAAAGGGAAAATAAATGCTTCAACAGGGGGGAGAGATTATGGTGGTTTGAGATAAAAATCAGATAGGAACTTTGCACCTAACAAACATTTTCAGTCACAAGTAGCTGAAAACAGCACTTAATTGTGGTATTTTCTCACGTATGTACAAGCTACATAATTAAATGGGAGGAAAGTTTTGCTCAGAATATCATCTAAAATACAGAAAATCCATTTTCTATATAAAATTTAAGGCCTGCAATTAAGTTTGCTATATGCAGAAAATGATCCATGCAATTTTGGAGCCATCCTATAAGTCCACAAAACAAGTGTCTGACTACTTTTAAATTTAGAATCCAGACTGCAGATGATTAGAGGAAAAGTCAGTCTCCATTGAACCACTCAACTATGTAATTTAAAACTGTCCTTTTAGAGGTTTATGGACTTTCTTCTCATTTAGAGAAATTCCTCAACAACAAAGCCAGGACAGGCTGCTTTGCAGCTGCTATTGTACACTCTAGATAAAGCAAGGAAAAAGGGTGGTATAATGTACTGCAATCCAGCACTCCCAAGCTAGTGACTGGCAGCTGGCATCAACTAGCACAGTCCTGAGGCTGCTGTAATTTGTGTCACCTTGGCCCTTCCCTGTTAGTACACAGAACCAGTGCCACATCCAGGATTTCCCAAGTGGGGATGTGGAAGCAGCAACCTGCTTTGCAGGGATGGCTGCACCCCTTGCTCCCAGCTCCTCCACCCCCACCAGTATGGGAAGACCACCCTTCAAGGGCTTCAGGGACTTGTTTAAATCCTTAAAGCAGGTGAAAATCCCCCCTTCCCTGCCTTTCCCCACTCCCTCCCCCACCTGTCACTGTGGTTTCTCATGCTGTTCCTGGGGTGGGGGAAACACCAAAGCTGTTCCTGCCGACCCCAGCCAGGTGAGGACAGGGACAGCAGCAACAGTGTGGCAAGAGAGTAGTTCCCCCTTCCCTACCCCATTCCCCAAGATCAGGGAAGGAGATCCCCCCCCCAACCCACCCCCACTGCCAATTTTTCTGTCCCCAGCTGAGCCAAACCCACATGCAGCCCAGCTGGGGCAGACAGGAAGAGCTCTGGTGCTTCCTCCACCCCTGGGACAGTGGGGAAAGCAACAGTGGCAGGAGGGGAGGAGGGATTTTCACCTTTCACCTTGGGGGCTTAAAAAGTCACCAACTCCCATGGTGTGGTCCAATCCAAAAGGAGGCTGCAGCCACCCCACTGCACCCCCTCTGGTTCCACCCCAGCGCAGAACTCTGGAATAGTTGAGAATTTGTAGCAAAACCCCCAGTTTTTGTTTGTTTGTTTTGGGGGGGGTTGGTTTTTTTTTTTTTTACTTTTCTTCCCCTTCCCGAATCATTTCTGACTCTCTCTCTCTGCCCTCTCTATCCCTTATAAGTAATTACAAGTAGTACTAGGTAAACTATGGTATGTTCTTATACTCCCTTATAGTAACAAGCCCCTTTTATATGGTAAATACTGTTCTATTATGTTTGTATTGATTTTTACTGTTTTATATTGAAAGTATATGATTTAGGTCTGTGTCTGTAAAGTAATGTCAAGTAATGTCAAGTTTCGATTTTGTATGTCAAGCCTCCATCTTGTCTCCTGCCCAGGTATAACCTATTGTATAGTATGTTGTAACTATGATTCATGTCTAACCAGTCTCATGTAAATTGGTTCTTGAATGAATGGGAGCGAATGATCAACAAATGATCAACTCAACGACCGGACCATCAACTCAACAACCAGACCACTGACTTGCATTGACTCACCCAGGAACCACAGACCTCACCCAGGAACAGAGACAAAACCCAGCATTTGAAAGATAAAGAACCTACAGGAACCCAACAAGGTGGAAGACAAAGACCCTACAGAAACCAGCAACCCACCAGACAATAAGGACACCTGGATCTGCACATATGCATCTGAGCAGGGCTGGCCTTGCCTGGGCATGCCCTTCCCATAGGAGACACAGGTAGCCCACCCTGATAAATGGGGTGGTAGAGTGTGACCTCTTTGGGACGCCCTCTCCATCTTGACCAGCACCATGCCACACCACCTATCTACCCAGAGGCCCTGCCGGCAACCCCCTCTGGACAACACTTTGCTAGAGAAGACCCCAACTGGCCATTGAGGATCAACTCGCAGCCCAGAACAGGTAGCTATCACCCACCTTCCTTCCCCAAGCAAAGGACCTGGACTCTATCCCCACACACCTTGACTCTAATCCCTCCACTAAGACTTTCCTCTCCTGCTACCATTGTGCGTGTGCATGTGCGTGTGAACCAATAATTCCATGGAGCTGTATAGTGTGCTGCCTGATTAATAAAACTTATTTTGAAACCCCAAGTTGGGTTTTTGTCTTACTGACCTCCCGGACCTCCTCCTTGATTTCCCGGCTTTCTCCCTCAGTTCATTCTGCCTCTGTTTCCAGCCCCAATCTCCCAGCTTTCTGCCTCCTTTCAGCCCCAACCTCCCAGCTTTCTGCCCCTCCTTTTCCCAGCTGTCTCCTCCTTGCCACCGGGCTTTTTCCCTCACTTCCACCCCAGGACCAGGTGACCTCAAATAACCCCAGGGGCCACAGTGACCTCAAGTAACCCCAACCCCGTGACCCTGAGTAACCCCAGGGCACATTGACCCCAATTAACCCCAGGGGCCACTTGACCATGAGTAACCCCAACCCCAAGTGACCTCAAATAATCCCAAGCACCAGGTAACCCAAACGCTCTCTAGTGTTAACACACAGCCATGAAAGTGCGTGTTTTTGTGTGTGCATATAGTTTTGTATGAACCCATAGAGTGAGTGAGTAATTTTGTATCACGCCCTCCTGTCTAACAGTGCAATATTGAGATCCTGAGTGTTGATCTGGTGTGTGTCAAGTCAACAAATTCAGTACAATACACCCAATTCAATCTAAAAAAACATCCTTGATGTAATGTGAGAAACTGTGCACACATTCCTGTGTGATAAGGAAATCTGTTACTCTTTCAAACTATTGAGGAATCTTTAAATGAAACAAGCACTTGATACACTGGTCTGATTTACCTGGTTTGACAGTGACATTCACAAATCCTTCTCCAAAGGCATTTTCACCAGAAACAGTCACTCTGAATGCATAGAGGCCTACTGACAGCTGAAGCATACAAAAAAAAAGTGCTACCAATTATATGAAGAATTGCACAAAGATAATATAAATATTTAAAGATACCTATTTGCTTGAAATACTGTAAACAAGCAACTTGAAACCCAGGGCTCCATTTATAAAGTCATGAACAAAGTATGGACCATCAGCCAGAATGGGCTTGAGAAACAGCCACATGGGGCATTCTTACTTTGCCCTAGGACAGGGGTTTTCAAAGTTTTTAATAAATGTACTGCTTATGACTCCAAGTTTCAGCTCCTGTAGCCCCTTATACTTTTTTCTTGTTTATAAGTGGGGGGTGGGGGGGAGAGCAGATTGAGGCCCCTGCAGTGTAGAAGGGAGTGGGGCTAGGGCAGGCACTGCACAGCTGGGGTCAGGTGCAGTGTGGGACAGAACCGCGAGTGGCTCATCTGTGGGGTGCGGGGAGGGGGTGGCAGCTCCCACCACTGCATGATCCTCAGGAGGGCATGGGAGGGGGCGCATGCCCCCAGATCTGCATAGGGTAGGGCAAGGCGGGTTGCAGCCAAGGTAGCACCAGGCTCTTCCCAGCAGGAGGCTGGGCCAGGCTGAGCTCAGGGTGGGTGGCAGCAGTACTGAGAGGATGGTTGGGGGACTATGGCAAATTCTGGAGTGGCTGCATCCCCCCTCCTCCCCTCATAGCCCTGCTCCTATAGGCCCCCTCGGTGAGGGAGGGGGTGGGGCAGGGGCTGCACAGCCAGGCAGGACCCAGGATTGAGCTGCACACACCCCAGGAGGGCATGGGGAGGTACATGCCTCTGGATCCGTGCGCATGGGGTGGGCTGGGGCTGGGTCAGTACCAGGCTCTTCCTGGTGGGGGGTTGGCTAGGCTGTACTTGGGGCAGGTGGAAGCAGTGCTGGCAGGGGAGCTATGGGGGGCTGCAGCCACTCCAGAATTCTCTATAGCCCCTCCAACTTCCACTTCCAGTGCCACTGCCAACTGCCTTGAGCACAGTGCGGCTCAGCCCACCCACTGAGAACAGCTTAGTGCAGCCCCAGCCCACCCAGCGCCACCCTGCCTCGCATGCAGATCTGGGGGCGTGTGCCCCACCCATGCTCTCCTGAAGTGTATGTAGTGGTGGCACTGGGAGGAGGGGCCAAATGGGGGAAGAGCTCACAGACAGCTGCTGCCACAACCACTCACCACCAGCTATTGGCTGAGGGCAGTGGCCTGGTGGTCAATCAGGAGAGCTAGCTGGGGCATGGGGAGGCACCACAATGTGCCATGTGGGGCCAGCAGTGCCCAGTGCACCCCTCTCCCTCCCCCAGGTAAGAAGTGAACACACAGGAGGAGATGCTACCGCCATGCCCCAGGGTGCGCTCTGATCCTGCCCACCCACACATATCCCCAAAGACCTTTCTAAGTACCCCTGGGGGTACACATACCCCTGGTTGACAACCCCTGCCCTAGGACAGTGGTTCCCAACTGTGGCTTGCAAAGCCCTGCTGGACCCACATCAAATTAAAAGTATGATGATAAGGAGGCATGGGAAATTCTGAGGGTTTCAGTGGTTTTAAAAGTTTGGGAATCACTGCCTGAAAAGATCAATCCTTTGAAAAATTGTAATTGTAAATCAATCCTTTGAACTGACTGTAACTTTGTCAGTCAGTAAAATTTTTCTGTGATGAGTCTACACAAGAAGGATGCAGGGTGCCCAATGTACTCCGATTCTATAGATCATATTTTTCCTTACCGTTTGCAAAATGCCTCAGCAGCATTTTGCTGATTCATACCAGTCAAAGATCTAAGACTTTCAGTAGAAGGTGAAACCGATTTATAAAATAGTGATCGTATAGGTTAGGGACAGACATTTAAAAAGCCTGAGCCTGAACTGATTCAATCTTTGCAGGTTAGTCTAACCTGAACCCATTTGTAACTGCACAAACATCCTCTCTGGACTGAAGAAATGCAGGCAGATGCCTGCAGTGGCTCAGGCTAGAAGCTCGGGGACACTAGAGCAGCCCTTCCTTCCCTTCCATAATGCTGAGCTGGTGGGGCATGGGCATGGCCAGGCCCTGGCAGGACAATCAGATTAGAGATGGGTTCCCCCCACACATTATTCTTGAACAGCCCAGCAGGGAGTTGATAACAGATCATTTATCAGCCCATCAGCAAAACAAAAGCCTCTCTCATTAGCTCAAGCTCTTCTTAAACAACTTTTTTCCAAGGAAGGATGGAGGGACATTAGCAGCTACCTGTTGATTAGCTCCAAAAAGCCCTAAGCAGACACTGTCCTGTCTGCATTTGTCCTGTCTGCCTTACACAGACACTTCTCCACATTAGCTAGCATACTACATGCTAGCTATGATCAGTGATGTGGAAGAGGGGAGGGGGGCACCGGGAAGCTAGGCAAATGCTGCTATGCCTGCAAGTCTGTGCTGGAGCTCTAGCCAGAGAGCTGAGGGAAGGGGCCAGCCCATCTCTCTGGAGCAGAAAGCCCTATCCAGGGCTGCAAAACATCTGGGATGCTGGGGGCCTATGGTTTAACTTAAACCAGCAAGGGGTCTGGAACAGACATTGCATAAACCGGTTTGACCCAAATCAATTAAGTGTGATACTACATTCAACCAGGTTTGTCTTAAACTGGTTTCAGCCATTTTTAAACTGGTTTATATGTACTGAACTTATATTCTGTTACAGGTTTAAATCAGTTTCTGATCACTTAAACCGGTTTATGTGTAATGTCTCTCCCTAGCCATAGGCTTTTCAACAGCATGCTGCAGGAAGCAAAACTGTAGTATCTAAAGATAAGTGAAATTTTATAGCCAAAAGCAACACAAATTCATGTGAGTTTTGCTGAATTGTCCGTGGTGGGGGGAAAAAAAAATAAAACCAATGATTTTCATTGTTTGAGTCAAAACACCTTTTCATTTCAAAATTTCTTGATTTTGTTTTTTTTAAATAAGAACACAAGAAAAAAAACATTATTTTTTCCCCAACTTCTTTACTAGCTTAAAAAAAAAATTACCTGGACTGAAATATGAAGCAAACTGAAAAGTCCAGGATTCACTATACATAACAAACCAAATGCAGACATCAACACAGACTCCAAGACCTCACACAATGGTTAGATGGATCAAGTCACACTAAACCTCAGAGCACCTACCTGTGAGAGTTTCAGTGTCGGTGTATGCCTGTGCTCCATTTCACCCTCATAGTCAGCAGGGTGACTGATCAGGCTCCACTCATAGCTATAAGCAGTTTCTAGGGTAGAAAAAGAAGAAAAGTAATCAATAGTTTTGTCTTCAAGCTAAACATACAGGGAGAAATGATGAAATTAGGTACAGCATCTGTAATGCCAAAAATTTTAGTCAAAACAATGATCTCTCATGTTTTAGCCTCTGAAATAACAGCATGCACTATGGTGCTGTAGCTCACTCAGTGGTATTTGAAGTAGCTTCTTTTTTTCACCATCACTGACCTGAGCACTGGAATCATCTTTGTTTTACAGGCTCACTTACAGTGCATTTGTTCTTTCCACTATCAGCTAAAAAGCAGCATTAAGAGTTCAATTTAATGCTTTAAAGGCTTAATCCATACCCTCTGCTCCCCCACCAGCCCTGTAGATAATATAAGTAGCTCCCCTGGAAGCAATCAGTGTAAGGTCTGACCCAGTGCATTTCTAGAATAGGATCTGGCTAGTCCATATGAATGCTACAGCAGAAAGGCTACAATGAATCAGACTCAAAAGTCCACTTGGAAACCCCTCTCACAGCTAGAGCCACAGGGTACAGACAGAAGTTACATTTGTCAGTCCCCTGAAAGTGCTCTACAGCCATGCCGTGACACACGTGCACAGCTGCAGAGCACTTTAGAAGTGGCCGATCACACAACAAATTAATCTTCATGAAATGTGCAATCTGATAAAAGGTGCTCCACTCTGGAGTGCCTTAGGGAACTTCTGTCAGGCTGGGCAAACCCCAGGCCACAGCTTGCTCCTTCTTTCTTCTCCCCACTCCCTTCCTGTAGAAGCACCAAAGCTGGGGGAGAGGAGGGGCAGGGGCAAGGCTAGGGGAGAGAGGATGCAGGCAGTATCTTCAGGCTTGATCATCTCCAAAGTGGAGCTCGATCCCCACCCCACTCTCCCAAACCAACAGACAAATGTATGTTAGGTTGGGGGACACTAACTGATGGTGCTTTATGTAAAGCGCTGTGAGTTAGAGTGGGGGCCTGCAGGCCTGTCACCGCCCACAGGGTTTGGCCAAAAGGATCTCTACACATCGGAAGGGGAAATTGGACTCTCTGAATTCCTTCCTAGTTATGAGGTACATCTAGCATAAAGTCCAACTTCATTCAAATGCCAATATTTTGTGTTTTCTTGTATGACAAGACCATTCAACTCACCTGTAGGTGGTGGTGGGACAACAAAAGCATTCAGTTCAACTTCATTTCTTGGGAGTGTCACCTGGATGTTATCACCAGCTGATACAATGAGCTCTTTTATTGACTCTATATTTAAAAAAGAATACAATTAAGGAGAAATTAATTTAAAACATTTTATTAGGGATGTATAATCATCGTTCATCAGCTGGTAACCTTCAAAGTAGGTATGGATGATAAGTTATCAAGGAAATGTAATTATCGTATTACAATTGATAAGAATAATCATGATTATGGATTGATTTTCTCTCTCCAGTTTACAAACTGTTTCCCCAAAGTTGCAATCAGAATAAACTTAGCACCTACATTAACAGTACCAGGAGCAGTAAGTGTTAAAACCTCCAATCCTGAAATTTGATGGAAAGCACCAGAGTTCATCCAACCATTTGGAATTTATTCAGGAACATCCCAAGATGGACAGAGGCAGTACAAACTGGTATAACAGATAAGGGAACCACGTAGGTTGGTACAACCAAACTTGGCACAATGGATACAAGTAATATATAGGAATGTGGTAATTAAGTACAGTAAGTTCATTTAATTAGAAAACTTTAAGGTGTTTGGTACCAAAAGTGATTGATCATGTGTGGGCAATGATGCAGGCTTAATGTAAGCATTTCTAACGTATAAAAAGAATAAACCAGAAATGCACTTTGGATTTGCATTTAACACTCCACTATCCCTCCTGTCAGCCAGTCTGATCACCTGGCGATAGTATCATCATATTCACTGAGTAGCTACTGTGAACTTTGAACCACATTACAATAGGAACTAACAGGCCCTTGGAGGCAACAAGTGTACTAATAGAAAATATGGCAAGAAAGCCTCTGCCTCTCCCCACGCATAACTCTTCTGTATTCCCATTACTTATGGTCCATGAATGCAGACCAGGGACCAACTAACAGATCCAGCATTCTAACCCTGTCCAAGTGCAAAGCCAGAGAGTCCACCTTCTCCCAGGTGAAGTCAACACTATTGCTGTGCATTCTCCTGAGCACTTGCCAAAGGACCTTGACTTTCTCTCCAGGACGCTTCAGACTCCATCTACTAAGCCACTTAGGGGCACACAAATCTCTCTTCCTCAGCCCAAGTGCATTTGTTTTACTTAAGGGCAAAATTTCAGCCCTAAATTGAATCATGTGTGTGCCTGAGTCATCCACCAGACAACACTCAGTGATTCTGATAACAGTTTTGTGAACAGTTTCCAAGAGCTTTATTGTTGGAAGCTCTCCAAAGAAAAATGCAATCAGCATTAGAATAAAAAACCCATACTAAATAATTCAGCATAGTCTTTACCAAAGCAATAGGCTCTTGCCTTTTCTGTCAAGTGTGTACCATTTACATGTTTGTGTGATGCTCTAAAAGGCATAGCTAATTTGTTATTCAGAGAGTCACTTTTTAAAATTCCATTAAAATAAGAGGCTGCCATGAACCCATGGCTTAACCATGGCTTAACACTTTGCATGTTATTTCATGCTGCTCTTCACCTATGAACAAATCTCCCTTCCTGCAAACCACTCTTATCTACACAGTCAACAAATCTATTCAGTAATGGGGTTTCTTTCTGGCAGTATGCTTTCAGGCAAGGTTCAAACAGATCTACACCAAAGGCTTTCCAGGAGTTGGTAGTCCTAAATTAAGGACTGAATTTTGCTTTTAGATCCCATCCTTGTGAGAGAAGAGTAGTTCCAGTGATGACACAATCATTTCCTGGAAAACACCCCTGCATTTTACATAGAAGACGCATAAGAAAAGCACTAACAGTTAACCTGGACTATGACTGTCCCTTAGGCTGGAAGTGTTTGAGGAAGAAGGCACAGCTGGAGAACTGTCTGGCTGTTATAGTCGCAGGTGAATGGACCCCTGCTGCTACATGCTACAAGGGTTCTGTACAGTGCAGCATTTTCAAAGGTCACCCAATGATAATGGTCGGGTTAAGGCAGGGCATTTTGAATTTCCAGAGACCCCTGCTGAAAATGACATTTCTCAATAGGTCCAAAAATAAATCCATTTTCAAAAACAAAAGTGCTCTTTAATATAGAACTCGTGGGCAAAATTCTGACTGGCCTTAAATTGTATTCTTTTGTCTAAGACATGACTGGGATTGAGCCTGGAGTTTATAAACCTACAGCTGAAGAGTGTGGGCTATATACTCACCAAACCAGGATGTGTGGTTTTATGGTAGGAAGCAAACCAGCCCCAGAAAATAGAAATCCAATAGGAAAAGGCAGTAAAACCTCTTCCCAGCCTTTGTTCAGAAATGCTTATTCGACAGGCACAAAAGAAAAACAACATTACCCTCTAACAATCAAGCCAAACACTGAACAGGGTTTACTTTTTTTTTTTTTCCCCCAAACAGATAATATTACTATTACCATCTCCACAGAAGCTCAAGTAGGAAGACTATTAAAAAGGACCAGGCTTCAACACACTATAAAAACAGTCAAAGGCTGGATTAAGTCTCTTTGATTCCCTAGCTGATCCCCATTTGACAGAGCTCCTTAGCCACCACAAATAAATTAGTGATCCTTAGATTTTAGATTCGTTGTCACTCAGTATCACAATATGAAGGTTGTGCTACTGATAGCTCATATATTAGTGATAAATTGCACTTTGGTACAAAGCTTCTGCTCCCCAATCAATTGGGCAAAAAGAAATTTCACACTCAGTCTGCCAGTCACATCAGGAGTCTGTTTTGGGTTTTTGGCTTAGGAGGCATCAGTTTCTCAATTCTTTCTGCCAGAAGTTCAGCCTTGAAAAAGAGTTACCTGCTTTGGCCCCATTGGTAGGAGATACGAATTGCTGCGTGACAGTAGACCGAGAGGGGAGAGGGTTAGTAGGAAGTGGTGTGGTTCCATCTTGAGTCAGACTATGCTGAGCTGTTGTGGAGACCTGGGTTCTCTCTAAAATAGTTGGTGTGAATCCCAAGTTGTCTGAAGAAGGATTATGGGAAGGTGTTAGAACCTATGAGATGAATTGTAGGGAGAAAGTTATTAAGATAAACCATCGTTCAAATTCAGATATACATTTCTCTAATGCACAAACTGATTTGGAAGTCCCACGTGAAGCAAAACATCTCCCATAAGTTTCTGCAGAAAATTCACAACCTCAACAGTATTTTCAACAAAACCAGGAGATTGTCAAGAAAATAAAGATACTTTGGAAAATTTGCAAGGCCAGCAGTTCTCAGAGCTGTGTATGGTGACAATGATGATGCAGTAATATTACTCAACAAATACTCAGAAATGACCATTGATCCGACATCAAAAAGTCATCATCTTTCACATTCCCACCATTTCATTATGTACTGAAAATTTGCATCTTTTGTGTGTATGTTGTAATTTTACTGTTTGTTTCTAAGACCTGATTGATTGGTGTTCTCTATTTCGGTCTTCTTAATGCCTGTAAATAAAATGCCAACTCTGAATCATCTAGCTAATGGAACAGTGTGCTCTTCAGCTGACCTGTCCTATGAACAAATGGTGATTCTACAGATATAAGCCTGGGCAGATCTAGGCTTTTGAAAAGGGGGTTGCAGACAGTGTGGCACATCTGGGCAGCAACCCAGAGAGGGCAGGGCACAAGTGCAACTGGTTTGCCACAGTGAACAGCTAATGCGATTAATTAGGAGGCACCTGCAAGAAACCCTGGGGGAAGTCAGCTGACCAGAAAAGGGGCAGGACCTGAGGGATATAAGCCCCATTAAATCACATAATCTTATTTCTAGTCCCCCACCCTTATCCTGCGTCCCTGCTTCCCGCACATAGTTTGTCATACTCACTTCTTGTGTCTGCTCTTTGCTTAAGCTATAAGCTTTTCAGGGCAGAGTGAAAAGGAGAGTGTCCACTAATGCTATTTGGTATTGATAGGGTGCTTTACATGTTTAAAACACTATACAGATACTTATTATTCAGTACATTACCACTTGCACCATTATACTAGCTTATTTTATGGATGGGGAAACACAGATTGAACAAGGCCACACACTGAATTTAGGCCTGGGCCAAAGCCAAGATTTCAATGCTGAAATTTCTGAGTCCTAACTCTCTGCTTATTCTCCTAAATCCCACTCCCTCTCAGGGCCTGTTAAAATGCATGCTATATTCTGAGCTAAACCATCCTGCGAGCTCTTCAGGGATAATATGTTCTGAAGGTCAGAATGGGAAAATACCACACAGACTCATTGCAATCCAGACCCACATCTGCAAACCTGAGAGCTTCAAATGGGTTCCTTTGCTCTGACTTACTCCTTAATGGCTGACAGACGTCTGAGGGCCTTCTGCTCATCTAAGTAGCATTGCATTTCAATTAGCTTAGCCTGTGGAAGCAGAGTCTGTCCACTCTCATACAGTAATATGAGAAGTCAGCAATGCAAGGCAGCATTCGATTTCCTTAGGGAGTATTCTACAAAACAATCATCTGTTTTGATTGAAAAGGAACTACTGTGCAGAACACTATGGGGCAGGCCTCACCACATCTTCTGGGATCTTGGAATACACATACCTCTTGCCTGAGATTATCACTGGCTTGGATAGGGGGTGGAACAACTGCTTCACTTGCTGTTTTCTTCACTGGGAATGGAGTAGCTTCTGCAAGAAATGGCAGCTTCTCCTTGGAGGATTCAGTAGCAGAGTTGGATTCAGACCCATTTTTATTCATGAGGTTTTCCAGTTTATTGACTCCCCTGTCTTTTTCAGCCAGATTCTCACCATTGTCTTCAGTGCCTGAAGAGTTAAAGCCATTTTCACTAGTCACCATCAGGCCCCAGTCTGTGTAATCAGTGCTCTCCTTCTGTTCATGCTTGATGCTCAGCTGAAACGGGTCCTGCTCCAGTTCCCTGTAGTCATCTGTGTATTCAGGTACCTCTTCGAGGCTGTGATCTTTACTTAGCAAAGATAACTCCTTCAAATTACTCACTTCCTCAGAGGGCTGGTTCTGGTGTCCCACTGAATGAACCATATTTGGGAGCACTTGTCCATACCCTAGCAACGTGGCTGGTCGCTGAGAGGGTCTCAGTACAAAGGTAAGGTAAGACTTTACCGTTTCAATTTTCTTAGGTTCACAGTTCTCTTTATGCTGGCAGTTCACAATGTAGCAACGCCGTTCAAACATCCAGGACAAGTCACAACCTGAAAGGTCACAGCAGGCAGCTGTGCAGTCTGCCATTGACACAGCGTGAGGAACTCGCATGATTTTAGTGGTTTCTAAATTTGGAGATATCACTGCATCTGAGTACGTGGCTCCTTCCCT